CATAAACATAAAGTAGATATATTTAAATATATATTGAATTTAGTACCGGAATGTGGCCGGTACAGATGGTACGGGGCTAAACACCTTCCCTACACCAAGGGACAAACCTTTCTGATTTTTTTTTTATATGTTGCCGGGGCAGAGGAGGCCAGGTATTCATATTAGTACTAATTTAAATCTTGCATGTAAAAACAAAAATAATCGTTTAATTCAGCAATATAATTAAATCATACCATTTTATTGAACCCGGTAATATTATAAATTATGTAAATCCACGGACTTCGATAACACGTATCTCGGTGACCCAGAAAATACGCCGTGGGCCATCACAACAGTTATCCCTTGGAGGGCCTCATGGAAAAATCAAACTAACCAGTCACTTATCCCTTCCTTTCGCATAAACCACTGTATAATTATAGAAACACAAAGTAAACTCTCTCCAATACATGCCCATTAACATATTAAACTAAGTTCATCTGTGTTCAAACTCAGACAAAGATACTAGCGAGCTTAATAGTTTTAGATATTTATTCATAACATAAACAGCGCTAGCATTTCTGTCGATTCCATTTCAGCTTAACCGGCTATCCGGAAGAATACATGCACCGTACTAACTGCTACGGCAGTTATTTTCTCCTTTGAATACTGCCCACCTGCAATAATGATTCCGTAACGTACTCCTTGTGCTATCTTTTGACCATTTGGCAACTTTTCGTTTCGTAGCTGACACGGTACAACACTTTTCTTTCGCTTACTTCACACGGCCAGTCATTTTGTTTACAAAGAAATGGTGTGCTATGCGCATGCGCTAGTAGAGGGAAATCCCTGAACAAAACGTTGGTCAGACAGGTAGAAATACCGATGATTTCCTTAGATTTAATCATTTTTATGAATCTATTTCAGCCAAATCCGATTGTTATTTTCCATAAGGAGTCTCACTTGATATGTTTATGTAGTATTTGAAAAAAAGACAAAAAATAAAGTTACTTCACCGTGATGCCCCTTTAATGAGTTAAAGGAACACAAGATGCTGAATGATGATCTATACTATTTATAACGTAGAGTAAAACCTGGCAAAACCTAACATACTAAAGGACCAGTACAGTAAAACCTGGCAAAACCTAACATAGTAAAGGACCAGTACTGTAAAACCTGGCAAAACCTAACATAGTAAAGGACCAGTACTGTAAAACGGGGGAAAACCTAACATACTAAAGGACCAGTACTGTAAAACCTGGGAAAACCTAACATACTAAAGGACCAGTACAGTAAAACCTGGCAAACCCTAACATACTAAAGGACCAGTACAGTAAAACCTGGCAAAAACTAACATAGTAAAGGACCAGTACTGTAAAACCTGGCAAAACCTAACATAGTAAATGACCAGTACAGTAAAACCTGGCAAAACCTAACATAGTAAAGGACCCGTACAGTAAAACCTGGCAAAACCTAACATACTAAAGGACCAGTACTGTAAAACCTGGGAAAACCTAACATACTAAAGGACCAGTACAGTAAAACCTGGTAAAACCCAACATACTAAAGGACCAGTACTGTAAAACCTGGCAAAACCTAACATAGTAAATGACCAGTACAGTAAAACCTGGCAAAACCTAACATACTAAAGGACCAGTACAGTAAAACCTGGCAAGACCTAACATAGTAAAGGACCAGTACAGTAAAACCTGGCAAAACCTAACATAGTAAAGGACCAGTACTGTAAAACCTGGTAAAACCTAACCTACTAAAGGACCAGTACTGTAAAACCTGGCAAAACATAACATAGTAAAGGACCAGTACTGTAAAACCTGGTAAAACCTAACCTACTAAAGGACCAGTACTGTAAAACCTGGCAAACCCTAACATACTAAAGGACCAGTACAGTAAAACCTGGTAAAACCCAACATACTAAAGGACCAGTACTGTAAAACCTGGCAAAACATAACATAGTAAAGGACCAGTACTGTAAAACCTGGCAAAACCTAACATAGTAAAGGACCAGTACTGTAAAACGGGGGAAAACCTAACATACTAAAGGACCAGTACTGTAAAACCTGGCAAAACATAACATAGTAAAGGACCAGTACTGTAAAACCTGGTAAAACCTAACCTACTAAAGGACCAGTACTGTAAAACCTGGCAAAACCTAACATAGTAAAGGACCCGTACAGTAAAACCTGGCAAAACCTAACATACTAAAGGACCGGTACAGTAAAACCTGGCAAAACCTAACATACTAAAGGACCAGTAGAGTAAAACCTGGCAAAACCTAACATACTAAAGGACCAGTACAGTAAAATGGCAATTTCTTGGAAAATATTTGTTAACACATCAATAATGATTGATTAATGAAGAGATTTTGATTTATCTTATAGTGAAAGACAACGTAGGGATATATTTATATTTCATACAGTGAATCAAAGGTAGCACTTGGTTGTAGTTGATGGCTGAAAATGTAGCTAGGGGGTTTGGGGGAGGCTGGACGGCACTTATCACACTGTGAATCTTTAAAAGGAAGCACTTCCTTGTAACTAATGGTTAGCATTATGTAAAAGAAAAAAGAAAAAAATAGAGGGGGAAATGACTTGGGAGGCACTCAGAAAAAAACACCTGTTTGGAATGTGGAAGGACTTAATGGTCTGTATTCAGGTTCTGGTTCTGCTGTTCTGTAAAAGTTAAAATAATACTGACAAACAGGAAAAAGTGATAGAATTTTAAGGTGAGCTTTTTATCTACAGAGACCCAGGCATAATGTTGTTGTTTTTGTTTGTGCATTTGCCAAAAAATGCTAGATTTGATGTTAAACAGACATAAAAATTGGTTAGCCTTATACACAGACTGTAGGGACAGCTGCTCATTTATCTAGTCAAGGGAGGTAACTGTTTGCCCGAGGAGATTAGACAGTACCATTAATACAGGCACTCCTCCAGACAAGACATTCCATCCCGATAGCCTTAAGTCCTGTACAGCCTCTATCTCCACTGTTATAATATTTATAGGGAAGTTTTATATCGGCAGTGTTTACCATCTCACCATATCCTGAATATGAAGGGCTGGCTCAGAACCTGTGTTGACTGACACCCTGTGTACTCTGACACATATTTTTCTATCTGTGTTGAAGATGGAGGACATAATCTTATCCTGTGTTAAGTGATACCGGTTACATAATCATTCTTACTATTTGTGGGTGTGTTTTTATGGAGGTTGGAATCTTATCCTTTGTTGAGTGTTACAAGATACACAATCTTTCTATTTTGTGTTGAAGATGCAGAATGGCTGGTTCTGAACCTGTTTCGAGTGGCACATCTTCCTAATTATTTGTGTAAAAGATGGAGACCAGAATTTTACCCTGTGTTAGTGACACCTGTTATGCAATGTTTCGGACTTACCTGTGTTGGAGATACCTATATCTGGTTCAGAATCTGCCTTGAGTAGTACACTGCAGTATGACATTCATTTCTAATTATTTGTGATACAGACCATAGTCTTAGCTGTGTTAACCAAAACTTGTTACACAATTTTCCGGACTATTTTGTGTTGAAGTTACTGTGGCTGGATCTGAACCTGGTGTTAGTGATACCTGTTTACTCTGACCATGATCTTTATATTTGTGTTGATGATGGAGGGCTGAACCTGAGGTTATTGACACCTGTGTATTCCGACACAAATTTTTCGAACAATATCAATATCAAAATCAGCTAGAAGTGTACTGAATGCCTCCTGTGTGTTACATATATTACGTTTCTTAAACATTCCTGTAGATAAACATTTAATTGATGTGGATGTTTGTTGGAATCATGGGATCAACTCACAGCGGTCTTCTACATCACTTTGCCAGGATAACACGCACCCCCTGTCACAATTACAGGTCAAAGTAGAATAGGGAGCTGGTCTGTTAGTGGCAGATATAGAAACCTATTCAGACTTGTTACGTTCGGTGTTTAGGAGGGAGGGGGCTTCTTGCTGCGGTCTAATGTGTCAATGGTGGTTTTCAAACTGTAATTTCATTTCTAGAAAAATAATGTTTCTAAAGAAAGTGTGACTGATGGAAGGGCTTTGTTGCATGAAGGGGGTTTGTTACATGAAGGGTGTTTGTTACATGAAGGGGGTTTGAGGGGGTTTGTTACATGAAGGGGGTTTGAGGGGGTTTGTTACATGAAGCTGCTTGAAACACTTCCAGAATCTGGCATTAGATAATTACATGGCTGTAGCTGTTACTAGGACGTAAAGCACAACTAAACCAAACAAAGCAGTTGATAGAAAAAAAGTAAACAGATGTAAAGATAAAGTGTCTGCCAAAATAGGACACTTGCATGGTTTCAGTAGTACATAATACATACCGATATGTAATAAAATGTATGTATGATGTTTGCTAATGAGGTGTGGTATATACCAATTTATCATATGAATACCGTGTTATGCAGTGTCATAAAGCCATCACATATATTATGTTTATGTAACGTGTGTAATTATCACTCCGGAAATGACGTCACAATAGGAACAATCAATGTGACTCACGTCATTGTGAAGCGGACAACATTTTCATCCTTTCAGAGGCGGCTAAGTGCAGAAGATTCATTTTAGAACACAATTATACAGTTAACTTTGTGTTATATGATTAAAAACATTCTGTCATTCGTTTCCCTCATATAAGGGAATATGCCAGAGGCTCGCAATAATCCAAAACTTGTATCATAAATCTAATATGAAGGGAAACTTTTGACAGATCCTCTATATATTGAGACCACACCGATCCCGCCATCTTCAATCCCAGCAGAAGGTAGCTGGATAGTAATTCAATAGGGCTGTTGACATAGCTTAAAACTTAACATCAAATATTTGTCCCCCAAAAACACCAGAACTATAGCTTGTTCTTCAGAAACAAATTCTGACTTACAGGTTTCACTTTATGTAACTGAATAACCTCATTGGCTGGTAACAATTGCTTGGTGATTCCTGCGTTCTGATTGGCTAGTTGCTGATTTCATGTCCTGTTACAGACGAACCTACCACGCAGGCAGCAGTTCTGACCAGTACAGCGACTCGGACCAGAGCTTCGGCCAGACTGACCATGACTTTAAGGGTCGACGGGACGAAGGAGACGGTGCCAGTAATGACAAAAGCCCACTTCCTAGTGCCCGCTTTAACCCCGCCCACCCGAGCAACACACAAACCGGTATCTCTAAGAGCCGCTCGTCCGATTACATCTCTGGTGAGTCAATGTTTGTAGATGTTTCTTCCGTAATAGTGGTCGGGTGGCGCAGTGGATAGTGCACTAGGATTTCACTGCATCCTCCAGGTACCGGGTAAGGGTACAAATCCTCTATCAAACCTGGTATGGAGTTCACTGCATCCTCCAGGTACCGGGTAAGGGTACAAATCCTCAATCAAACCTTGTGTGGAGTTCACCTGTCTGCCCATGTCAATTTTGTCTGAGCACTCCAATGTCCTCTTACAATAAGACTGTTTGGTAAACAATATTTAGTCAACAAGAGGGATTATTATACCTTGTTCAAATTTGTTTCATAATTATTGTAAAATAAATAAAGAATTGTTATTTTACCTCTTTGGAAGCTGGAGCAATCTTTTTTCCTTGGTTAATGACTTTTCTGAAAGCTATGTTTGTTTTGTCCTTAACCAGTATGATAACTTGACGAGGGAAATTGTATGATCCATCTTTATCCAAGGATAGCAGTGCCGTTTTACATATGAATCCATTTGATCTTTTTTTAGCCAAGGATAGCAGTTCTGCTTTATATACGAGTTCATTTGATCTATTTTTAGCCAAGGATGGCGGTTCTGCTTTATATACGAGTTCATTTGATCTATTTTTAGCCAAGGATAGCGGTTCTGATAGTAGCAACCTGACACTGGTTGACCAGAGTCGTGAAATCCTTAACGAATATCAGGGACTGTCGGTCACCATCAACAAAACCCGGACTGAGCTACTCAAACTTCAGGATCTGCTGCTGAGTGGGGAACCACCAGACGGAGAGGAAAGTGGAGGACGAGAAGTGGCCACATCGTCTTCTCCGGAGGAACAGATAGTAAGTCGGCAGAGTAATAAATCGGTAGTATGAACCATTGTTAGATTTTGGTCAGATTTCTGTTACTTTAATTTTACTTACTTTTCCACTCGTCCCCGGTGGGGCATAAGGAATCAACAATATGCCACCACCTACCTCTGTCCATGGCATTGAACTGAGCTTGGCCAATAGAATATCCCATTTCTTCTAATTCTGATGCTATTGTCCTCCTCCCTGATGTTCTCGTTCTGGCTCCTTTTCTCTTGCCAGGTGGTGTCCAGTGTGAAGCCACTTTGGTAATTCTGGTTTGTGTCATTCTCAGAACATGCCCAAGCCATCTCATACGTCGTTGTTTAATCTCGACAGCAATGCCTTTCATTTTACCTTTCCTCAGTAGGTCGGATTTATCAGTATCAGCCAAAATATATTGCATCTTTAACTCATTCACCCCTGAAATTTCATACTGAACTATTCCAACCTTTGAATTTGAAGAGTTCAAATGTGTCTTCGGGGGTGAATGAGTTAAGGGCATCAGGTTGTATGTATTCTGCAACTCTTCAGTGATTCAAGTCCAAATTTTCATTGTATTTTCCTCAGATAATCATGAAAAGTCAGCTCATCCAGGCGACAGAGGTTTGTAAAGATCTCAGGGAGGAGCTCTCCATGACCAAGGATGAGTGTATGCAGCTTCAGGGCACAAAGGTAAACGTGTACAGATTCAGGGCACAAAGGTAAACATGTACAGATTCAGGGTACCAAGGTTATCATGTACAGGTTCAGGGTGTCAAAGTGAACATGTACAGATTCAGGGCACTAAAATTTATATGTACAGATTCAGGGCACCAAACTTAACATGTACAGGTTCAGGTTCAGGTTGTCAAAGTGAACATGTACAGATTCAGGGCACAGATACAGGACACCAAATTTAACATGTACAGATCCAGGGCACCAAATCTAACTTGTATAGATCCAGGGCACCAAATCTAACATGTACAGATTCAGGGCACTAAAGTGAACATGTATAATTAAAGAGCATAAAGTTAACATGTACATATTCAGGGCATAGATACAGGGCACCAAATTTAACATGTACAGATTCAGGGCACCAAAGTGAACATGTATAATTAAAGAGCATAAAGTTAACATGTACAGATTCAGGGCATCACACTTAACATGAACCAGATTCGGGGCATAAACTCAAATAACGGAAGTAAACAGATTCAGTGCATTTAAAAACTAAGGACACAAATCAAATTTGTAAGGTTTCAGGATACAAAACTCAGATTTATGCAAAATATCTTTGCTTAACCCTTTCACCCCTAGGATTTTGATGAATGTCTAGATATATGTTTTAATTTGTTTCCATTTAAAAATGGCTGATAAAAATTTGTTTTATTTTCAATGGTTTAACCATTTTGTATGCAAGTAAAACACATTTTTGGTGTTTTAAGTTAAGGTACATAAATCTTTATATACATGTTTGTATTTTTCAGGCTGGCCTAAATCACAGACTTATAGAACAAGAGGAACGCATTTCACAACTCAATTCTGAGGTTTTACGAGCTGACTTCGAATATCAGCGTTTTGAGTCAGAAATTGTAAGTTTATGTTCTAGTTGGACATCGACTAATATTACCTCTTGAGTTGAGATTTTTCTGTCTCTCTGCCACTTTGTGTTGCGATCCCCAATCTCACCTAAATGGGTAACAGCTCCATACTCTCTTGCGTGATTTGTCACTTTTCTGGTTTACAGACGGAAATGAAGCGAGCGTTGCGAGACAAAGACAAACTGATTGTAGATTTAAAGGTAAGTTGTGTTGTTGTAGATTTAAAGGTAAGTGTTGTTGTAGATTTAAAGGTAAGTTGTGTTGTTGTAGATTTAAAGGTAAATTGTGTTGTTGTAGATTTAAAGGTAAGTTGTGTTGTTGATACAAAGGAACTGCATTACTCCAGGCTCACATTGTAGACATGGGTTCAACACTGGTATCATCATCAAATTTATCTTGGACACCAATCTTTGATTTCACACAGAATTACTCTAATGATCATGCGGAAAATAAGTGTTAAATTACCTGTGTTAAAGTTTGCTGTTTTTAGATTGTGAAGATTCATTAATATTCACATCGGCACTTTTGACAGTGTGAACAAATCTCCATGTATTAACTCATTCACCCCTGATATTTCATAATGAACTATTCCAACCTTTGAATTGGAAGAGTTCCAATGTGCCTTTAGGGGTGAATGAGTTAACAAGAGTTCAAAATGATGGTGTAGTTACTCTGGTGAAATTGTCAGTAGTCTAATATTGTGTGTACGTTTGGAAATAAAATCTAAAAGGCTATTGGATAAGATGCCTACAGATGATTCATTCTGTTAGGGTATATTTTTTTTAAAGAAAAGAAATTATGTCCGGGTTTTTGCCAGGTGTTTATAGGGTCTGGTACAGGGACCCAATACCAATTGTAAAATGACCCTGCATTTTCCCAATTTCAGTCTTTATTTTCCCAATTTGGTTAAAAAAACATATTTATACAAATTTCCAGTCATGATATGTACAACGTTCAAGGTATTACCGTCCATGAAGGAGCATTCAAAATACATAAATAACAAAAATGAAAATTGATGTGTTCATTTAATGCTATACATTTTACTCTAAGAAACAGCTATAGGAAAACTTTTGCTAATCACATTGCAGTTTTTTTTTCTCTCCTAAACTTATGATATTTTCCCAAACCTGTACATGTGGGAACACCAATGATATTTCCCATTTTTGCCAAATGCGAATATTTTCCCAATTTCTGCTTATGGTCACTTTCCCAAAATTGCTGACAAAATCCCTGTTTAAAGAAAAACCTTTATTTCTGTCTGGTTTACTCTGATAGATGTGAAGTATGTAGTTTTGTCTTGGTTCATCCAATGGCTGATCAACTTAATTCTTGCATTGCAGAAGGACATGACGAGAAGGGACAAACACATTGACCATTTACAGAATGAAGTCCAGTTACAGATTCAGGAAAAAGAGAATGCCACACGTTCACTGAAGATGCAGATATCTGACCTCCATGACCGGCTCAAGGTCGTAGGTCAAACAGGGGTGGGTATCTTCAGCGAGTCAAATTAGCGTCGGGTTTAGAAAATCTCTTTTAAGAATAACTTGATTTCAACAAAAATGTACCATTCTTTAGAATTTTGGCTTTTACCTAAATGGGACAGACTTTCCACAGAGTAACTGACTCCCCACCCCAATTATTTAATTTTCAGAAAAGTCTGGAAATAATGGGGGTATTTCAACCTACTGTGATGTTTGACTGTAAGCAGGTTTTATAATGTTTATAACGATTATGACATCATATTTTGAAGACTCGAAACTGTGTTGAATTAATCATGTATTTGTGATGTCATTTCACAGGCCAGCCTTTCAGCGCGTGTGGCGTCGCAGGACAAACGTATGGCCCAGCTGGAAGGCAAGATTCTGACCTCGTCGGACGACGGAAGCAGTCATAGGAGCGATAACACCAGCTTTGTACGTAAAACCCATGTTAACACAGTAAGATAGCACCGGCTTTGTATGTAAAACCTATGTTCACACAGTAAGATAACACCAGCTTTGTACGTAAAACCTATGTTAACACAGTAAGATAGCACCGGCTTTGTATGTAAAACCTATGTTCACACATTAAGTGATTAGATTGCTATAATCATGTTAGTTTAGTTTGTACATAAAAACAAAATCCCTATATTCCTTAGTATTGTTACATATGAACAGCAGGGCCTATCAGGCCAAGTGGTTAAGGCATCTGACAGTCTACGATCACTAGCCCTCCACCACTGGGTTGCGGAGTCTGGGGCAGATGCCAGGTACTGGCCGCAGGTTGTGATTATGCTATGGTTTGTTTGTGTTTTACGTCCAGCAACTATGGTCATTTAAGGACATGCCAGGTTTTGGTGGTGGAGGAAAGCCGGAGTTCCCGGAAAAAAACACCGACCTACGGCCAGTACCTGGCGACTGCCCCACTTAGGTCTCAAACCTGTGACCCAGTGGTGGAGGGCTAGTGGTAGCAGAATGTTAGACGCCTTAACCACTTGGCCACCGCAGTCCCACTTGTGGTTATCCTCCGCCAACAAAGGTTGGAATGTCCTTAAATGACCAAAGGCTGGAATGTCCTTAAATGACCATAGCCTGGAATGTCCTTAAATGACCAAACGCTGGAATGTCCTTAAATGACCAAAGCCTGAAATGTCCTTAAATGACCAAACGCTGGAATGTCCTTAAATGACCAAAGTTGTTAACAGGATATAAAACACACAACAAACAAGATTCACATATTGTTGTTATTTTGACGAGAGGAACATGCTCCCTTAAATAACTTGACCTCTTTATTTGTTGATGATAAATGATGATAAATCGTTGTTGTGTTTCCAGGGGACGGGTGATGAACTTCAGGTGGTACGGGACTCGCTACATAACCTGCGTCTGAGCTTCAAGGGTACAGATCCCCAGCAGCACACGATAGACACACTGGAACAGAGCGTGTCGGCTCTCCTCGATAAAATCTCGATGTCCGCAACCTCCTCGGTCGGTGGAGGGGACGCACAGGTAAATTCTTAAACTACATCCCAATACGATGTATATGTGAAAGTTCTGACAACTCGGTCATATGCTTGTGACCTTTTGCACTAGCAGTGGGCTTGTCAATGTCCACAAACTCCTTGTCAGGGACTCGCAGGTAAATTCTTTACTGATGTGAAAGGTCTGACAACTCTGTCTGCTCTAGCAACCGGCTTGCTACCCTCTAAATTCTTTGTTAAGAACATAATACAAGTGAAGTACCGTATTTATCTTACAATAATCCCATGCCTGGTAATAAGCCCATGCCTGGTAATAAGCCCACCCTTATCTATTGCAGCTCAGTAAAAATGCGAACAAATGCTATTTCATTGTATTATAATAAATAAAGCCCACCTTCCTAATTTAAGTTAGAAATTTTTGTATCGGCCTCTGGGCTTTTTTGAGGATAAATACTGTGTGAACTTTCTGATATTAAATGAAAGGTCACCTGAGTGCATTTAATTCTATTTTTTTGGTTGGAATTTTTGTCAAGCTCCAATTCTATCAAAGCAGCAATGAGGAAATATATGAGTTCTACACACATGTTCTAGTTACTGAATGAAATATTGTTTTGTATCTTTTTTATTTTAGACTAAGCTTTAGCTATAGAACATGTTCTGTTATTGAAACAATAAGTAACGGTTCAGATCACTTGAGCTACATAAGTGATTGTATTTATGGTGCAGTGTAAACAAGCTCTATTGTCACCATCTGTCCAGCAGAATTATGGCGTTATAAAGAGGTTCTGTGATACAATGAGGGGAACCCTTAAAAGAAAAGGAAAAGGGGGTCGCAGAATTTGTTGGCAGTAAATGAGATGGCGAATAAAATGATTGACGTTATATTTAGTTTTTTCTGTAAATGATGTCCTGGTCAACTGACAGCTATTTCTTATTGTTTTCTAGAGTGGTCATGACGTTACGTCACGGCGCCTGAACTTCGACTCTACGGGCGACGTTCGCCGATCCCCGATCACCTCCATTCCGGGTAGTCAGACTAGTGAGTGGCCCTGATCAGGCATATGTTGGACATAACTTATACATAACTGGGGCTTCCAAGCTTTCCTATTGACCTATTATATACTCTACACTATAGGATTGTCTCCCTTTACAGAATTTCTGAAATGATTGCCTGAATAACTCCTGAATAATTTTGTTTAGCAATATTTTCTAAACATTCAGTATCTATTAACCATTTCACCACTGTAGACCATAATAGCCTCATCCAAATGAATGTATGGTAGAGTCTACTCAAGTTACCTAGGGGTGAAAGGGTTAAATAAGAGTAAAGTTAAAGAAACTCCGGTCCCTAAACTGTCAGAATTCTTTCCAGTTGAATATGATCATTTGTGTGATGGTAAAGTGTGTCTGTTTGCAGGTTTTCCCTACAATCATCTAGACGGCGGTGGCCAGCCGACCACATCTACACCCATCAGCTCTAAGGAGTCCACAAAAGTATTATACTTCACCGATAAGCCCCTTAGTCCATTCTCCTACACCATACGTAAAAGGAAGGGATACTTCACCAATAAGTCCCTTAGTCCATTCTCCTACACCATACGAAAAAGTAGGTACACTTCACCGATAAGTCCCTTAGTCCATTCTCCTACACCATACGTAAAAGGTAGGTATACTTCACCAGTAAGTCCCTTAGTCCATTCTCCTACACCATACGTAAAAGGTAGGTACATAAGATAACAATTATGTCACTATCTTTTTTGAAATTGAGACCTGTGGTTTGTCATTACTTAACCTTAGTGGAGGAATAAGTTGAAAAAAGTATTTTTCATGGGGAAGGATAGCATATCTTGTGTCTTTTGAGATGTATCTGATAATTTTAACAAGAAGAAAATGCAGAAGTCTGCCCAACGGATTTCATTACTCGCTCACTGTGTAATGTAAAGTGTTGACTAACAAAGAGGAACTACTCATGGGTCTGAATTTCTTGGAAGTGTAGTAAACTTATTTTGTTCAGACAGGATTATCAAGAAAAGTTTCCAAATATCTGTTTTTACATTTGCTTGATTTCATGCGAGACCTATTGTCAGGGGCCGCAGTGGCTGAGTGGTTAGGCATCTAATTGTCTGAATCACTATAGCCCTCCACCACTGGGTCGCAGGTTCGAGGCCTATGTGGGGCAGTCCCCAGGTACTGGCCGTAGGTCGGTGGTTTTCCCTGGGAACTCAGGCTTTCCTCCACCACCAAAACCTAGCACATCCTTAATGACCATAGCTGTTAATAGGACATAAAATACAAACAAACAAACCAAACCAATTATTAATATTACGTAAAAAAATAATTTCTGCTACCTGCTCTTTCAGTCTCACCTTCTGGATGTGTGTTACCAAGACAATATTTGTGTCCTGTGATTATTTCATACCTTACAAAGGCACTTGTTGATATCTTAACATAACTGGATTAAATCATTGTAACCTCAAGTATAATTTGGTCTTTGTTTCACCCACAGATTAGGGGAGATCACTCTAAAAGATTTTAAAGCCATTTACGACAGACCAGGCAACTATAGGTACTCCTTCAAGGCGTTGGACCCAGAGTTTGGCACTGTCAAGGAGGAGGTAGGTCACTTGTGTTAAAGTATCTCCTTACACAGAACTGTAACAGCAGTTTATATTGGCTGAATAGTAGGTATCACATGTTTGCGAAAATGAAAGTTTCACTGTATCTGGATTTTACTTTTGGTCTTTTTACTTTCCAAGAAAGAAAATGTGATCACAAAAAAAAAAGTTTTAATCTTGAAATATTCAGCTACATACATTTACTATAAGGATTTTTGTAACAAAAAAAATATATGGCTTATGCCCACCAATTCATATCAGGTATCAAAATGTTCCCCGTTAAATAACCATTTTGTTTGATGATATAGATTGTTTTAGCTCAATGCCGGAATATTGTGTCCTCGCTCTAATGCTAGTGGCATGTGTGTTGTACTATTACAGGTAACCAATGATTTAGATATCATACCTGGCTGGGAAGGAAAAATAGTCGCCTGGATCACCGAGGACACGGGAACGTAGCACAGGAGAGTTGTCTCCCTTGACAATATT